ACCCTGTTACCGTTCTATAATTATTTTAGTTGCAGTTGGTCCCAACTCGCCCCTCCTTTCAGGCACAGGTTTGCCTTCAGAGTAGGAGTGTCAACAAACCATCAGCAAACCTTGCTGTTCCACAGTGGTTTATGGAAAAAGAAGGGAATGCTCCCAGCTCTTCCTGAAATACATTCAAAACAATATTGACTGAGTGCTAGCAAAGTATGCTTGCTTCTCCGGCGCTCAGGAAGTTTATGTCTGACTTTAATTCCAAATGAGCACGCGCCATCAAAGCCAGACATTCCAATCCACAGCACAGGTTCCAGTGGTTGGAGGAGCTAGAAGCACGTTGGCCCCTAGTTGCTGTTTTTCAGTTGCTAGAGATTCTCTCCTGCTTAACTCTCTTCTCTAGACATCCAAGCCAACCAGAATTTCCCTAGTGCTGTAATAAAGGGTAAGGGTAACTGACATTAGCGCAGTGCTTTAGGTGAGGGGAAAGGGAGAACAGGGAGCCTTGTTGTCCTCGTAGGGTACACAATAGGACCGATTTTTGATCCGTGCCCTCCCTTCTCTCTGGCCATCCGGGTCATGCACTCCTAATCGTGAGCAGTCAGACTGATAGCTTTATTATCACCGATAATAAATAATAAATAATGTACTCAGCAGCTAACACGTCGTCATGATAAACTCTGTTTTTTGGGATCAGTAAAATTGAAAGAGAAATGGCGTATCATGGACGTATATGCTGAGCTAAGGTCATTCCTTTTTCTAATAGTGCCACCGGACTGGGAAATCAGAAAATGCCATAAAGTGCAAAGGGATTTTTCAACAGGGCTCTGACAGAGTTACTCACGGTATTTTATTTTTTTAGGGGAAACGGAGAAATGTGTACAGAATAACAGTATGATCTTTTCTGGTTGAAGAATCATGCTCAAAGAGGGCTGGCGAAGAACTGTTTTCCAGTTCAGACAGGGTTCTATAAATCTCTGCCACAGAGCTTTGGATTCGGTTTAGTCCTTGCTGTGGGAACCCGACATCACTGGTTCTTAAAGCTCCTTAGGTGATTCCAGTGCACAACCACGGGGCAGATCCACTGGTATGGGGTCAGTGGTTCGCATCTTACATTATATACTGTTTTTAGCATTCAGACGTCCCTTATTAATACCAGTAACAGCCTTCCAAACATCCAATGCTTGCTACCGTGTCACAGACGCTTGAAGCAAGGGTAGAAAGACAACATTTAAAGTTCATTTCAACTAGGATAAAGGTTTGGAAAATCACATGTAAAAAAGGGATCTGCCCACGGTCCACTAGGGACCTCAACCGGATGTCACTGGGACATTTCACAAATACCAAATTCCATCAAAACTCACTGATAAGAACAGCCCAATTACATGTGAAAGCAAAGTTCATACAGGGGTACTCTTTTGGGGGCTGAGAAAAACAAGCAAAAGATCCGTTTTATGGAAATGATCGTCCCTCTTTATTTAGAAGCAGGTCACTGTGACCACAGGTTTTAGACCACATATCTCCAATTCACAAAAAAAGTTGGGGAGATGAGCAGAACACCAACACTGATTGGCATATCCACAGGCGAAGTTCGATTTTATCCCGTCGCTTTGGTAACCAGAAGAAACGAGGCACTTTATTACTGGAGACTGCACTAAAAATGTCCATGGGTCACAGAACAACATGTTCGAGGCCAATTATGTTGAGCGCAAAGACTTCAGGCAGTGGGGGACGGTAAGAAGCTTGTCTCCTTTCTGTCTCTGGAAGGGTACCAACCTCATAACATCAGTAAATAATTCTACGACCTTTAAAACTCATTTTATGAGCAAACTGGGTCAGTTAGTACGGAGTGAATTACATTCAAACAATTCCAACCACTTTATAACTAGGGGCGGGGGGAAGTAGCTGATTCCTTGCATCAGCGATATGTTAACTGGCAGCATTCACAAAGAGCTTGCTCGGTTGTAACCGACCCAATAGAGACACACGCACAAAACCACAACAAAAGGCAAGCAGCCCCCAAATGTACAGCCCCAGTCTTCACCTTGAACCTCTCCTGTGTTACCTGTTCATTGTAATTTTGCTGAGCTCTGCAGAACCATCTACTTTTTGCGGGGACCGGAGTATAGCTACCGTGAAGGGGAAGTTTTTGCAGAAGTGGGGAATCCAATTTCCATTTATGAATGTGTAAAAAGCACTCTAAGGATCCTTTCTTTTTCCTTTCTGACTTTTCTATTTGTATAATAAATCTATCTCTCTAAGGAGCTTTAAGAACCAGTGATGTCAGGTTCCCACGCCAAGGACTAAACCAAATCCAAAGCTCTGTGGCAGAGCTCTACAGAACCCTGTCTAAACTGGAAAACAATATACATATATATGTATTTCCTACAATGAGCTAGACACTGTGCTAGGTGATTTGCATGCATTATTTTATTTAGTGTTCACGCTACCTCTGCCAGACAGGTATTACCCCCATTTTATGCAAAGGAAACAGGGTTACAAAGGTTTTAAGTGACTTGTTGAAAGTTATAGAGGTTCTAGGTTGTGGAGGCAGGGCACACCCGGATCCACCTGACTACACGGGCCAAAATTTTCACTATGATGTGCTACCCTCTACCACGCTGCTTCCTTCCACTTCTTTCCTTCTTTCCTCCTCAAAGCCCAAAGGGGTGGGTGGGTGGTAGCATGGGAAGGATTTCAAGGAAAGAAGGACTAATCTACCTCTCTTTCATACCTCTCCCAAAGCTCTGTAATTCTGCAATTCCCCACACATAGCCTGGTCACCAGGACCCAAGAAAATACAGGTTTCTTACAGGCTCATGGTATGTCTTTTCCTCTCCAATCTCTCTATGGTTTTGGAGACCACATTTTGCAAATCCCAAATAAGGGCATATATCCCAAGACCTTGTATTTTCTCTAAGCAAACACGAGGGCAACATATTTAAAATCAAAACTCAAAAAACACTTGTGGCATCTAGCAGAGAGAGAGAGAGAGAGAGAGAGAGAGAGAGCACTGGCTCAATACAGACCTGTTGATTGATTGAGTCATTGGGGGTTGATCACACACGGAGAGTAATGAGCAAAGTTAGACTAAATCCTTATCAGTGGAATTCAACAGGGTGGTCTTTCTGACAAGTCTTTTTGTTATGGCCTTAATGTAGGCTTCCTGAACCTGGTGGCTTGTTAATCTGAAAGTACTTGTTTAGATACAAGGCTGTGGATTCTAAGAGACAAGCTGTTCATTATGAGTTCTAATCCTAGGCTGGAAGATGCCTATAAAGATTAAAACTTGTTTCCTTTTTTTCTAACAATTAACAGCCTAGCTAAAGAACGATCAATTGTAATTGGGGAACTGAGGAAGGTAATAAATGCATTACCGAGACCAGTTGCTTTACAGCACCATTTATTTAATCCTTAAATTTTGCAGGTTGTAAATTACTCATTAGAAGGCAGAAAGCAAAATAGCCGTAATCCGTTTAGTGCCTCCAAACTCCGAAGACTTAGTGGAGGAAATCCATGGAAACAAGAGGCCTGATGTGTTCTTTCACTGCTATTTCTTAATGGGCAAAGGTGGTTAAACAATAAGGATAAGCCCAAGTAATTATCCTGATGCGCTGGTCCATAGGTCAGGGGTGGGCTTGATTAAATTCATGGAGAGCTGACCCACAAACGGTGGGAAAATGCCCCTTCTTTTCCACTCAGCCCCGCAGGCAGCTAATCAATGTGCACATCTCACTTCCAGATTGTTTCATGAGACCAGAGCAATAGCCCGTAGCATTCATTAGGGCATTTGCTCCTATCTGTTGTTTTCTAATCAGTGCAGGGACTGGACAAGAGGCCAAGTGCCAGAGAGGAATTAGGAGGGGACGAGGAGGAGGCTGTCCCCCTCTCCATTCGCGGGAACACAGCTCCCAACTACAAAAGGTTCAATGTGAAAACAACTAGACAATTAGTTTGTCCGTTGCTTTACATATCCAGAAAGCCACGTATATCTGGCTTGAAGATGGATTTTATCAGCTTAACATGTAGACGCCGAACCATTTGCCGAGGACAATTTGTTTATACCAAGGACCAAATTCGATTTTAGACTCAGTGGTAATGGTGTAAACAATACACAGGATGCCTTTGGCGCTGGCACCCTATTTGTGTTTTGAGAGTAGTATTTGAATGTGTGCGCATTTCCTTTTTCAAAAGCGGGATGCCCTTTAAATATGTAACACAGCTTCTGGCTCACCCTTAGCCTCTACACAACAAAATAGCTGCTGGCTCACTTCAGGGCTGAGCGGGCGTTTCGTTCCTGCTCCTTTGCCCTTTACTCTCGTGATCCATGGCTTATCTCTGAATAAAGATGGCGTTAGGCTGTGAAACGGAGCTTTTCTCTTTCCAGAGGTAACCAGACCACATGAGGACCAAACCTGCTTCTGCAGTAGCAAACTGAGTTACCCAACACAAACTATCTCCATTAATTTTCTACTAGACAGTCTAATTAAGTTTGTGCTTCCACCAGGCTGGCACGGCGTCTCTCTTGTTCCATTCGATACCCACCCAGCTGCGGCTGCTCAATAAATCATTACTGACAATGAGACAAAATCTAATTTAAAAATTATAGGTGTTCTGGAAATGCGTTTATTCACTTTGTTAACGTGATTGTAAAACAAGTGTTTCCTAGATAGATCATTTAACCATGGCATGTGATAAAAAATACTTTTCTTCCCACATCTCACTTTTTTTTTGAGCTATGCTTTTTTTTTTTAACAGTAGAAAGCGATACTGAAGAATTTTATAGACCCCTGCCGTTAGAAATCCTGATATCAAAGCACCTGGAAAAACCGCGGAGACACCTTAAGAGATACTGACATGAGCTCACAGCAATTTTGCGAAGTAGAACTTGGAGCTTCTGTGTCACTCGTCTCAGGGAAGGGCCTGTTCTGGGCACTTTTGGTGGAGACAAGGAATGACATTTGGCCCCTTTCCTGGGGCTGAATTACCTATGTTTTCATTTTACTTACCCTGAGTGGATTTTCATTAAGGTAAGGGGGTTCACCTTCCACCATTTCGATTGCCATAATCCCCAGAGACCAGATATCAACTTTCGGACCGTAAGCTTTTCGAGTCACCACCTCAGGTGCCATCCAATAGGGAGTTCCCACCATAGTACTTCGTTTACTTTGCTCAGGGGTGATCTGGGCGCAGAACCCAAAATCAGCTGCAGAGAAGAAAAGTCCGTTAAAATCAAGTCAAATTCCTCTGGGGTTTTTTTGTTGTTTTTTTTTTTTATTTTTATTTTTTTTAACATTTATGTATTTTTGAGACAGAGAGAGACAGA